GGGAACATCAGACAATTAGTGGGAGAGAGTGATATTAATATGACCTCTGTGCCATTCAATGTACGAAAAGAAATCAGTGCAACTGTTTTGCACTGGCTGGGAATTGCAGCCAATGGGATCCTGACCAACCTAGAGAGTGCTAGGTTAACCATGGCTGTGCTAAACGGTGTGTGTTACCAACATGGAAGTGTGTGCAGCGGACAGCCTGGTTCTCAGCTGGATCCATGTGCATGCCCAGTGCTAACAGTTATTGTTACAATTAAGTTTCTTTCCCATCTTTTCTCTAGGAGCTCATTCTAGCTTATGTAGAGATCTCCCTTCGATATACCTTCACCACAACAATCCTGTTGAGAGAGAAGAACTGGTCCAGAGCAATGGTGTCTGCAAGGGTGGTCCAAAAAGACAAGATGCATCCACGCCATCTTGCCTTTTTTGACACCCCTGTGGAGGCCACTGTTCTTCAGGGAATTTCCATGGCTGAGGGTAGACTTGAATCTGGATCGGCCCAGTCTTAGTCTAGAACCTTAACCACTACCTTGTGTTGGATTTCAGTTATCCTGGGATAGACAAACTGTTGATGCCCCTCTTCCAAGCCCTGAGAAGATCTGACATCTCTTATGACAGGCTAGTTCTTGCCTTTCATAACAACCCGCCTTGCCTCCTACACACAGGCCCTCCTACCAGTGAGGGGAGCTAGAGGAATACAATTCACAGCAAATGACACAGTCATGGGACTCTCTGCTGAAAGACACAGAAAACCACAACAGTGAGAAGGCAGGCAGAAGAAGGGAGTCAGATACTTGCAAGGACTCGTTTTTCAGACAAGACACCACCTGCTTTGAATAAGTCAGATCGACTGAGATGTACAAGTTCCTCTCCATGAATCTGCCATCCTTGTTGCTAGTGTTATTGGCTTTCATGTCAAGTAAGTAATATTTGGGTCATCACTTTCTACCCTTCCTTGGACCTCTGCCCACTTTTCTTTCCAAGTTCTCTCTATTCTCGTAGCTCCAAATCTCTCGTCCTGGCTTAGCTTAAGGTTTTATATTTAGTGTTCGTTTTTATTTTTTTATTTTCTGTTGCCTTTCTTGCAAAACCCAGGGTGGCTGACATAGGATTGCTCTTCATTTTGCACTCCCCAAAACAGTGTTGTCTGGGAATGGAAACTCAACCCA